TAAAAGTTGGCAGCCTTGTAAACGTTACATGCATCATCTGTATCTATCTATTAAGGAGGTCTGTAAACTGTCTCCAGGTTCATGCCAAGTATTTCAGCAGCGATTAATTCATCCTGCAGCTGCCAAACGTCCATAAAAAATTTCAAGTCATCACAGCTGTTTGGAGCGCTCTGCTCCTATTGGTCCAGGAGGATCAGAAGTCCGAATCTGGATGCTGATTGGTCGCTTTCAGTCGGATGCCGCGACCCGCGTGGCGCGATGATGAGACGACGCGGATTATTTTGGAGAGTTGAACTTTAGTAAACTTTGACACCTTTTTAAAGGCTCCTGATTAGACCTCACCACACATCACACCACGGATGCGAGCAGGATCATACGGGTTGGCTCAGTTTGTCATGTGGGAGAAATGTGCTGACTAATTATAACACTTCTGTCCTGTTACTTTTCTGGAGTCTGTGAAATCTCTGCATGGACCTCTGTGGATATGCACTGCCCTTATATTTATATGATCATTTTATTTATTGGCTTATTTAATAAGAGTTTTCCACTGCCATTTCCACTTGATCCTTCCCTCTGCTTACAGGTTTTATGAGAAATGCTGGTCATTGGAACTACTATTACACTCTAGAAAACTACAATGAGAGTATGTGCAATTGGTAGCAATGTTATTGTGAGTGTTCAAATTGTTTGCATGTTTGCATCTCACAATACAAAAACATGACTGCTGGTACAACTATGGGCGGTTCTAGATAGTGGCCAAAAGGGGCCAGTAGAACTGGTTCTGGCTCCTAAACTGAAAACATAATACTGAAATATAAGTAAATCAACATAAAACATGTGAAATCCAGAAAATAATTAAAAATCCTGGCCAAGCCCCATCTTATATCAGAGATATAAGGAGAGCTCTCCTGGCAAAGCATTCTGGGATATATCTCGTCTAGTGACCATGAATGATCACTACTTTTCAAGGTGCATTGTGGGAAATTTAAGTTCCACTACTTTTTCATCCACTGGACATTTAGGACACTCATTTAAGATGCCATAACCCCTATATAGTGCCCTGTATAGTGATTTGGGCGGACATTCGGACACAGCTTAGGAGACCTTTTCAATATTTTCTTTACAGTTCGGGTTTAATTTGGATTTACAAAGCCGTATCAAGATAGGATAAAGGTTTTCATCTGCTAAATGTTATTTTGAAAGTGAAAAATCAAACTTGTCACAGCTGGATTTATCAGTTTTACTTAAGGTCTAATTATAATTTGATAAAACATTTTAATTTAAAATAAGTCAAAATATATAATGCTCTCGAATTACACATTCATTAAAGAAAGGTTGCGCTTCATGAAAAAAAAAAGGCTAAACGAAGATGCTGGTGATGAGTCTCAGTCATCCAGGTCAGTCTTTCGAAAAAAACAAAATTAAAAACAATCCGCTGGACTTTGTTTTCAAGTTTCAAGATGTTTTGTTTCCCTTCCAAAAAGCTTTTTCAATTGAAAATGTCAGGAATAGTGTGGAGTTTGCTGTTTTATACAATAGCCCAACAAGGCCTTGTTTTTGTTTTTAAAACTTGCAAACTGAAACGGACGAAGCCATAAAGCAATGCCCTGTACCCATCTAAGTGTCTGAAAGGGGGATCGTTAATGGGAATTGTTGGCCTGGCTGAATAGGCGAGGTCCTCGGCTCTCCAGTACAAGGACTGGGGCTGCGATGATAACGGGAAGGGATTAACTCAATTGCTGTATTTTAGGTTTTTGAAAGCAGAAACCTTAATCCACCTCCTCTGTTTAAGGTTTTTTTTTTTCCTTTTTAACATAGATGGCTAAAAGGGAACTATTGCTATTTAGCTGAGCACATCAACATATAAATTATAACGTGGACTGATGTAAATGACAAAGTAAATGGCAGTAATTTGCCAGAGCAAGATAACACTGTCAGTAAAAAGGTGAGCATGAAAACTGTTTTGTTTCTATTGCAATGTTGAAATTCAATTAAATCCAAAAGTCTCTTTTATATTTGAACTAGAATCAACTATTTTCTGCTATTTAAACTACAAATTGTAAATGGAAATTAAATATGCACCTGAATAAATTTAGTTAATAAAATAGATTGGTAAAAATATTCATAGTTGCTCATTAAGTATTAATTCTTGCAATAATGATGACAGAGAAAACATTAAGCCCATGTCTAGCTCGGCCTGCTCTGCCCTGGCAGGGATGGGCTAACTTTTTATACTTTACCTCACAGCAAATTGTTTCCGTGGGAACAGCTAGGATAACGAAGAGATAAAAACAGTCCTTGAGTAAACAGACTGCACTGACCGGCCGTTGGTTTATCTCCAAAAAGCCAAAACACTGTATGTGTTAAAGAAACAGATGAAAGCTGGACCTGCAGGTTGACCTGGCAACCGATGCATCCAATTCATTTTTATGGTCATTGAACTTATTTAACTAAATAAAAGCACTCAATATGACAGCCAGAGGTGGCCCAGTTATTTTAGTTCTGACTCAACTCTCAGTCTCACAGGTAATATACACAGATTTGCCTATAATTTTTTGTTTTACACAAATTTCACATGAAACCTGGTGTTTTAACTAGATGTCTGCAAATCTACCGTTTAGTGAAAATGTAACAACAAATAAGCATTTTAAGAAAGTAATTGTGAATTTTTCATTTAACCCTGCAAAGCCTTTACACTTGTAGATGGACCTATAAGTTATGTTTTATTGTTTACGCAAACATATTAAACGACATGTAACACTAATTCAGCTCATATATATTGGAAAACAAAATCTTAAGTTTGATCTGTTTTAGATCTTTTAATATTCCTTTTGCTGTTAATTCAATATAATCTGAAGAATCAAGGTGCAAATGAAAGTGTTTATGAAACACAAATAAGAAACTATATTAGATTCCAAGTGTTGAAAATAGTGTGAATTTTATTTCAGGATAGCAAACATTTCACAAACTGAAAGCATTTTTGATCCCTACGTTGTTACAAAAATGCTAATTATGTTGGCTCTGGACAGCTGAGTGTTACTGTGTGACATTCTTCATTTCAACAATTATTCCCATCCCCTTACTTTGCAAAAGAAGTCTCACAAATGAACATTTGCACCAGTTTTATCTGATGCCAACAAACCCTTCACCCCCCCCCCAGCTTTCATGCCTAGATTTGTCCATGAATGAATTTAAAACACATCTACACTTTTTTTCCTAATTTTCTTTTTTAACCTTGCAGTCTTAACTACTGGAATGTGAAGAAATGGATGCTTTTCATAAGGCATTACGGAGGCACAGTACCATGAAAAGTATTAATTCAGCAAGAACATTTGCAAATTGTTACATCATACCTGCGACATTTGATGTATAAAAATGAGATATTTGATTACGTCAAAACAAAGTAGCACATAAATGTGAAGAAAATGTTGCACATTAACCTGGAATCTATGGAAGAGTAGCAAAGCAAAAATCAAAACATAAAATCTCCCATTTAAGGTTTGCCTAAGTACATAGGGGAGGAAACTTACAACCTTAACCCCATTCTCACCATAAAACATGGTGGTGGCAGCAGCATGCTGTGGGAGTGCATGGTGTGAAAATGGATGTAGCTTCTAGATACAGGCTCTTCCTGGAAAAAATTCTGTTTTGGATTTGAAATGGGGGCAGTTTCCCCGTTCAGCAACACAACTAATCAAATAGTGAGATGGCTTAGTCAAAGTGGGGGTCTGCGTACCATTGAACACTGCAAATATGAAAGTCATCCCAAAAGACTACTTATACATAAAGGGGACTTAATGGATGTAAACTTGGTACATTTTTTTCAGTAAAGCAACACATAAACTATTATATTCCTTCCACTGTGCCTCCACATTTATGTTCACCATTGTTGTACTTAAAAAAATTCCAATAAGATTTGTTAAAGCTAGTGGCAGTAATGTAACAACATGTTACTTTTGCAAGGTACTGTATTCTGACTGTTTTTGAAAGAGATACCCAGGCGCTGCAGTTTGATATATTTCACATATAAGACAAGACTTTCTCTCAAATCGAGGAATAAAAACCCCCAAAAAACATCACGTTAGAATATTTAGGCCAAAAATTGAGAAATAATACAACAATACATAAATAACAGAAGCATTATAGACTGCTATAGCAGATAAACGCTAACATTAATGCACCTACAATAAAAAAAAAAAATAAACTCCCTCTTTCCATACCCCGTTTATCACCATGACAACAGTTCTGAAGATACAACAGTGACAATTAAGACCGGTTCTGCCATGACAGCCACTGACACGTCACCTTACCACGACACCTACTACAGTATATGCCATGCAAAGGAGGTGGTAGGGATTTTATTTTTCTGACACCAGATCTGTGGTCTGACTGGTTTCCATAGCAACCAATAAGAGCTCAGCCTTCACACCCAACAGACATTTTACCGTCACCTTGAAATGGCTGATAGGAACACTTTTGGCAAAATCTAGAAAATTGAAATGTGGCCATCAGAACAGAAAGCATTATGAATTTCATCATAAATGTCCTTTTATCGTATTTTATCACCGTATCTAATTCCATTAAAAGATAAAAGCGATACAAATTGTTTTTTTTCCCCAAGTGCTTCAAATTTCCTGTAAATTTAGCTTTGTTTCGCGGCAGAAGGCAACTGGAATACACATTAATGCTGACTGATTACATTTTAACTTTCAATACAGCCGACAAGCATCGAATGAAAAGATTTTTGGTGAAATGTTCAAAGGTCCTAAAGGTGATATTAATAATAGCGTTATTTTAAAAAATGCTATCAAGTGCAATAAAGTTTCACATCTGCATTGAATCAATTAAACAGCAACGGATCAGATCAACAGCTGGTAGCATAACTGCAAAGTATAGTTGATTTTTCTATTTTTAACTCAATGAAAACGTTGAAATAATTTTCAAGTAAACCTCAAAGAATGAGCAAATGAGCAGCTGTCAGAGCATTGGTAATCATCTTCTTTAGAACAGGACAACGACTTTTGGGTATTTTAATTTTGTTTGTTTGGGTTTTGTTTTTTTTAGCCACTGCGGTGACTTCCGTCTCCGGTGCGCTGTATCCGAGACAGGACAACCTCACGGGACATCCTCTTGCGATCCTTAGCCAGGCCCAGAAAGCACATGAAGTCGATGAAGCAGGTGGTGAGGTTCAGCTTGCAGCCGTACTCGCTGGTGGCATAGTCGTAGGGGAAAGTGTGGTGGTAGTTGTGAAATCCCTCACCTGGACGAGTCAGAGAAACAGAAAGCTTTGTTTTAGTTTAAATATTAAAGCAAGGATTAGAAGAGAGGAATTTAAAGATTTCTGATATTTGAATTAGTAAATCTTAAGATGTTCAAACTATTTGCTCTTTGACAAGCTACACAAGGGTTTTTATGGCACCTAATAAAAATTGCACTCCCTTTCTATAGGCATTTAAATATGGGAACATTGTCAGTTCTCTTCAGCCTGCTTGACGACTTCTTCTTCTTCACTTATTCCCATGTTGCTCAAAAATTTGCAGCGCCGAACTTGTCTAATTCTTCTCCGCCTCATCATCGCTTTGATCTGTACTTACCTGAATCCTGGATCATTAACCAGCCCCCCTGCAGTATTTCCACCACGTTCGGTGCACCCCCCACCCAGGGAAGTCGAAACTGGAAATCAAGTCATTTTCGACCTCCTCACATTTGACGCACAAATCAACACCGGCCGGGAGGGGAGGGGGGGGGACCTGGCTGCCACCGATTTATTTATTTTCCTTTGCAACAACAAATGCAGTCATGTGTGTGCGTGCCTCTGTGAGGATAGTGGGAGGACAGTGTGGAAACTGGAAATACGGATTGGTTAAATTTGATTTTCAACACTTGAAGTAGAAAACAAAAAACAAAAAATGAAACTTTAAAAAATGTTCAGAAACCAGCAACTGTCAGATGCAGAGTTGCTAACAGGCAGCAGCACGTTTCTGCTTTCGTAAAAAAAAAACTTTTAGGTATGAAGTCTATTAAAAGTATTTAAGGACTCTTGAACCGTTCACATTTCAAAACGTGTATCGATTTTGTGATCAGCCTATACAAACTGTTGCGCTGTAATAAAGTGGAATATAATCCGACGCAAATTGTGTTTTACACATGAAACAAATCTGAAAAGTGTGGTGTTCATTTATATTTCAGAAATGCAGTTAGCTGCAAATATAGCTTAAAGTTTTGGGTTTTTGCCCAGTTATTTCATGCACGAGCAGATTGGACCATCTGTTGGCATCGAGTCTGAACTTTGACTGGGCTTGTACTAATTTGTGTTGGTGTGACATAAAATCCAGGAAAAACTCACTGAAGTTTGTGGTTGTAATATGTTAAATTTGAAATGTTATATTAAAGGTTCAGATATCTAAACTGCTTCTTCTAAATGATGCACCTGGCTCTATCACAGAATTTCAAATTAATCTGCAAGAAATATCAGAACAGGTGCAGGTGTCTGTCTGCAAGCTGCAACAAGTTTTTTCCTTCCACTGCACTAAATCTTAAAGAGACTCTGTACTTAAAATCCAGATGATTTTTTCATATAACATATTTGTGTAATAATGAATCACATAAAACAATAACCCTTCCTAGATGGTAGTTATTTAAATAAATGTTTAAATTTAGGTTCACTAATTCCCTTATTTAAATTTAAAAGAAACTTAACCAGAATTAAATAATCCAAACACTTGGTCTACTAGTAGCAAATTAAATTCTGTAAAATTAAACAAAAATGTTTTTGAGTGTTTTTTTTCTTTTTTCTTTTTTACCTATTGCGCTGAAAGTGACGAATCTGTTCTCTCTAGGGTTGATGTCCCTGTCGTATGGCCTGTTTCCCCACATGTGTGCCGCGCTGTTGACGAGCCAGGTGGCGTTCAGTACCAAGGTGTACCGCAGCAGGGCCGGGATGAAGTAGGCCACCCAAAGCGACTCGCCCCAGAAGTACCAAGGCACAAACATCGGGATGAAGAAGCACATTAGCAGCACAGAGAGCTTGTAGTGCCTGTTGAGATGAAGAGGATTTGGGAAACAGTAAGAAACATACAAACTACTTTCTCTATTATCTGAGCTTTAGATTCATCTGCAGACCTTAATTCTACTGAGACATTTATTTAATGGCCTTTAAATTAATAAGTGTTGCTTTGTTTACCCTCTAAAGTACATTGGAACATGAATATTATTAATAAACCTTCATTTTTTGCATTAGCTCATGACACAACCTACCTAAAGATATTTCAATGGTATGATATAACCGTTAGCAAATTTGTTAAACTGCTGTAGTAATTGCGTTTTTGAACAAATGTAACTGCTTATTTGTACATAAATTTGAGGGAAAAAGGTTAGCAGAACAACTATGCTCACAAACACAAATCCCAATTAGAATGTTATTATTGTTCCAACACAGGTTATTTTTATATCGATTTGAAGTTATTAAAGAGCTGCTGTGACGTGTGTCAGAATGGTCCAGTCAAAGTCCAGACTGAAGGACCTGCAGAAAGACTTAAAAACTGGTGACTCTGCCACTAGTTTGGCTCAGCTTGAGCTTTTCTGCACAGACTGGGTGAAAATGTGAGCCTAAAACCAAATATTGTTCTAAAATGTATAAATAATTTTTGTGGGGATCATTCCAGACCTCCTACTTTCACACCACTTGCCTTCTCTGAAACATCACAACTTTGTCAGCAAGCAGGTCACTGAGCTCCAGCTTGCGGCCCTTCTCGATGACGTCAGGATGTTTTCGGACCAGCAGCCAGCCGATGTGAGAGAAGAAGAAGCCCCTTCCGGCATTGTGGGGGTCTGCGTCCGTCTCGGAGTATTTGTGATGAACCCGGTGGTCTCGAGCCCACTCAAAGATGTCGTTCTAAGGTTTTCGTAGAGGACAATGTTTGTCATAAAGATGATATCAACCACGATGTGTTGATCTAATTTTTTACTCACCTGAAAGGCCATGGAATTACTAAGAGCAAGAAAGATCCTCAGAGGTAGAGACGCCTTGTAGGCCCTGTGACTCCACAAACGATGAGCTCCTGCTGTAACTCCTAAAGCACTTAGCAGAAAGCAGACTAAAGCTGCGGAGAGATAAAAAAAATAGCATACAATGATAAAAATTAAAGGTAAACTTAAACATGGTCTTGTTTTTTACTTATTACAGCTCAACTTGATAATGGAGCTTCTCCAGGTTCATCAACGTTTTACAATAAAGAGATGGTTAACAGGTGATTAAATTCCTTCTTCTATTCCTGCACTAACACTTGGGGGTTTGGTTGTGTGCAAGAAAAAACAAGCCAATCAAAAAAGAAAAAAACTGTGACATAACAGCAGCAGATTTCAGTGCTTTTTCACTTCTCCCATGCACCATACTAGCTACCACCACCACGCCTTATAAGTGATAAGTGTTCCTTTATTTAAACGCTTATCCAGACACTACCAAATAATATTAACCAATGTATGGTTCACTAATCTAACCAAAGCTTCCATTTGCACTGCAAAAAATTTAAATCTCAATAAGTATTTTTACTTAAAATACTTGTGTTATGTCTTGAATTGAGGGGGTAATTTTAATTTACATTTATAATAAGAAAAAAACAATTGCATTGACTTATTTCAAGTGCATATTATCTGATTATCTTATTTTAAGAGTAAAAATACTATTTCCATTGGCAAATTAACTTATTTACTTATTTCTAAACTGTTCTTGCAGGGTACACTGAACAAAAAAAAAAGTAGGAATGATCAGGAAGAACCTAAAATCAATCAAAGCTCAAAGACATTCACAAACCAAAAGATGTTGATAAACCAGTTTGGCTTTCCACATAGCAAAGCAGATGGAAACTACCTTGATATTATTAAATAGCAACTCACCAGCTAGACAGCTAAAACTTTGATCAAACATTTTGTTTCAAATAAAAAAGATATAAACAGGTTTTGAATGAAGCGTGGAGAAAATTAACTTTCAACTCTATTTCTTCATTTGACATTATTTGGAAGCCAGAACTCAACGACAAACTAATCTAATTAAATCAGCAGAAGTATTTCTTATTTACACTTATGAAAAAGATTGGTTATATATTAGCAATAATAATAAACTAATATGACCCTTTGTGCATTTTTACTGTAAAAACTTCTGTCCAAAGCTTTAAACTTAATTATATATAAGCATTTCACCTAATTTATCTAAATTCTTTTCCGTGTGTTTTGCTTATCTTTGACATAAAAGTGAGTAAACATGCCATTATTACAGATAAGTATTAGACAAAAAAAACAAGTTTAACGTGAAAATTATTCGACTTTAAGTTAATTGAAGTGAAATTAGAGGTAGAGGGGGTATGAAAAATAAGTTTTACTTTTTCATATCCCTTTTCAGACAATTTCCATTAATTGATTGAATTTCTCTGGCTGTATATACCGATTGGTTGATTTGGTGGAGGGTTTTGTTTCTATTTATGTTGATTTATTTATTGTTGTTTGTTAAAAAAGATGCCTGAAAAAAAAAAGAAAAACAGTTAATTGCTTTCAGCAATTGCAATAGATGGCATCCATTTTACCAATGAATCATGTATTTATGTTGCTTTCATGGTATCTCTTGATTAAATTTCTAATATAGGAACTAATGTAAAGCTTGTAGTATTTAGACACCAACTTTATATTTCAAACAAACACAATATAGCTTGTATTGTGAAGCAAATACCTTCAAAATGTCCATGCATTTATTATTTTACTTCCATCCCACAATTATGTAATGCTGTGGGTTGATCTATTGCATAAATTAGATGAAATACGATCCTCAAACAGAGGGCATCTATCCAGAATTGCTGGAACATGTAGGCTAGTACTTTGTTCCTTTGTTTTGACTTTACTTACACCAAAGCAAAGTAGAGGGAGATGCTGTAGGGATGAGGAATAAGCCGTAAGCTGCTCCTATATGCAACAGAGTCATGAGGATGACATTTCTCCACACCATGACTCTGGGAGGTTTTGGGCCCTCTTTCTCCTTGTAAGTGTGATCAAACGCATCTTCCACGGCTGCCTCTGAGCAAACGTCCCCGTTAACCGACGTGTGCTGCTGCTGCTTCTTCTTTTCCAACGGTTCACACCCAGTCATGTTGGCTTTAAAAGAGTGATGCCCTAACATTAAAAAATATATAAATATATATTAGAGAAACAGACAAAAATAGGCTTAAAACGTCGGAAAATTATTTTTTTTTTAGCTAACACGACTGTCAAGATGCTAGTTGGCGCTCGTGAGAAAATAGTGGTCATGTAACGAAGATGCTGGCAAAATGAAAACGTTGCGTAACACAGAATTACTGTAAAAATTACATTTAAATAAAAACACAACACATAACTCACCAAAGAAGGGAAGGTGCTATGTGTGCTATAAAAGTAGTCCAAGCTGGCGCACTTGACCTAAAATTACAGTAACCCAGAAAGAGTGTTGTTGTCAGCTCTGTGTCGAACATCAATGATAGATTCAGCCTCTAATGTGACTGACCAATCAGAGCGCAGAAGCCGCCTCTTGGTTAGTTCTGATTGGCTGTCTCTTTATCTGCTGTTCCCCTTCTTTTCATCCGGTGAGCCAGATGTATTAACCTCCCACCGACCAACAGCTGCGCTGCTTTTTCCGCTGCTGTCTAGACAAGTATTGAATTAACTCACACTTCCACTCCACTCAGACATTATAACGGGTCACGGCGAGAAATAAAATGTAATAAAATAAAAAAGTTGTTTTGGCAAGTTTTGAATAATGGGACCTTTTGTTGGAAAACGCAAAAATAATCATATTTTCTAAATCATGTCTTGATGCTATGGGGTGAATGTTATCAACCGTTTCTACTTAACAAACTTATGTTTTGAAAATTGTTGGAAGCAAAGCTTAAATGGGTTTCTCGAATCGAGTTTCCTCTTCGAGATGTTTCTTCGCCACCTGCGCCTCTACACAACGTTTTACGACAATGTCGTTACGCTTTACTTAATGCATATCAAATGCCACCATATTCAGATAGAAATAGAAACTATTCACATTTCCTTTAGTACCTTTTTGGGGGGAAAAAATAATAAAAAGAAATATTAGCAGTTTTACTGCATTTTAAAATTCATGAAGTATCACCAGTTGTTTAGTAGTATTTCTCCCTAATCTTCAAAACTTCACATATGAACAAGCTTGTTCATGTGTTATTTCTATCTGCTCATCCTTCTCTCATGGAAAAAAAATACAGCAAACTGAACTATATCATGCTGCCAGAAGTAACTAATACACACAAAACAAACTAGAAGTCCATGAGTTTTAAAACACCCCCACCAAGAAAATGTTATTAAAATGTTATATACATATTATATTTAAATATATTTGAATTCATTTTTCAAAACACCAGAAAGACAAAAAAAAAGGAAGAAAAAAAAAAAAACAGCACACAAGATATATGTTGGGGTATCTTCAGACAACCATTAAGGCACATATTTGTGCTGACAAATGTTATTCATCTGATAAACTTTCCAGTTTCAAAATAAGCATTAGGTAATGTCATATTTCTGTCCTTAACACTTTCTATCACAAGAATACCGTCAAATGATATGGTTGCACCCATCTAGTTTGGTATCTACTGATGAGATATGTTTGCAGAATTGTTTTCCTTCCACCCAAATTTTCATTAGGTTTTTATTATGTGTAAGTCCTGCTAAGAAAAATTAACAGAAGTAAAAATGTGAGTCTTTTTTACTCTGCAAGAAAACATTAAACCCACAATAACTCCTCTTTTTGAATCACTTAAATAACTTTTTGTGATATTACAAGTCATGGGTAGTTATCTATAAATAATGAAAAGTTTACTTTACAGATTCTAAGTGAGAAACATTTTGCATAAAGTCACATTTGGCAATACATTTAGATTCGTACTTTAAGTAAAAATGCATTAAAAGCATATATGACAATATGAATTGCATGTTAGTTATATTTTTAAACGAGCTGATAAAAACGAAATGATTTATCAGCTAATGAATCAAGTAAATGTATAAAGGAATTGTATCTACTATGAAGCACCAATAAAACCCTAAAATATGTGACCTTGTTGTTCTGCTGCCCATGCTGGAAACCCTAGCCTCTCAAAAAGAGAATAACAGTGAGGTAGCAACAAATTAAAAGCAAGTGCACATTATCTGGATAATTTTGTCTTATTCCATAGCATATGTAATGATAACTCATTTTATGTGGCAATATACAGTTAAAAAAACTGAAATTGTTACAATAAAACAAAAATTACAGTGGAATTTGATCATAAAAGACATATTTGCATCATTTTATTTAGATTTCAGTTTAGATTAAAAATATATACATGTTGTACTTGAACGCATCTTTTACGGTTTGAGATCACAGCTCATAGAATGACCGTAAACCGCATTATAGCAGCGCAGGGAGAATGAAACCTGACTATATCACTGGGTCATCACAGTTTTGCGTTACATCTTGGCTGACCTACATTTAGAAATGTGTTGCTTTTTCGCCCTCTAGTGGAAATGAATGTGTAGCACCCCTGGATGCCATCTGGATCATTTTAAACAAACAGAAGTACCCTGAGCTCCCAGCAGGAGAAAAAAAAATTACGCTCCCGTGTTAATAAGTATATATTACTATAACTGAATGGCAGTGGTCTGCTTGTTATGCACATGTAGATTAATTGGTGGACGGATGTATTTATAGGCGCCTACCGCTGTTTCTGCAATGGAAGTAAACAGGGACGAGGCGGAGCGCTGCATTGACATTGCAGCCGCAGCTTTTAGGAGTCATCAGCTGGAAAAGGCGTTGAGGTTCCTGGACAAGGCACAGCGACTTTACCCAACAGAGAAAGCTCAAGGTAAGCTGTCGGGATGGATGTAAGAGATGAGCACCCTTTATCTGCAGCATCATCACCTGCAGCATCACCTGCATCCCAAAGGAGCTGCGCACACAGCATCAAGCCAGGGCCTTCAGTAGCATCACTAGCTGACTCACTCGCTATGAAATGTTACGTTAAATCTGACAATACACACGTTCTGTGTCTCTTTATGTTCACAATAAGCGTTTATATGTCACTCATAGAAAGATAAACCTAGAGATTGGGTTGGTTGGGCAGCATCCTTAAATAGCAGTTTGATTTCATTCTCTCACACACGTTGTCTGGGGAGGAAAGTAGTCATATTCATTTTTTTCCCACATATTATGAAACTAGTAACCATAAACTGCATGTTCTTTGCAGAAATTATTAGTGATGAACAAGGATAAAACAGTACAAGCATTTAAAATAGAAGGAAAATTATCAACACATATTAAAAAATGATTGTTTTGTCATCTTATACATATATTATATGTTTGTCTTCAGCCCTGTCCACTCTGAAACCCCTAATTAAAATTGATTATTTTTAAGCATTAATTTAATTGCGTTAAATATTATCTGAGTATCACTTTAGAAACACTGGGGGAGCTGGGGTGTTTCACAGACTGGATAGCTATTAGTTTACCAGGACACTGCTTATATTTGGTCTATATAGCAAAAAGAAAGCCATTTTTTTAGCTGTGAGAAAGTCCTATTTAATGTTTATGAAGCAATGTAGGCGACACAGCCAACTTCAGGTAAAAAGTGTAATACCAGATGTTACTTTTTTTGCATGCTGTAGGGATGTTTAAGGGAACTGAAGTAAAGGGAAAATATTAAAAATGACATGCAGGGGTGGGGGGCATGCAATCAAAGCTACAGTGACATGTTAAAATAGCCTGTTTAATGTATAAAGTCTAATCTTGATATTTTTACTTCCTTCTAATTGAGCTTAAGCTGAGGTGAAGAATAGGATAACATTGGATAAATATGTAAAGCTGGTGTAGACATTCCCTTAAACTACCATAAAATGCATAGAAGTTTGCATTTTAACATTAAAAGAAAAGAAATGTTAAGACTATAGATATATTTGCAAAAGTACTGACTAAAGAAAATGCATGAACTAATCAGGAGAGTGAAAACATGTTAATATTAAATATTAATATGTGAATCTTTAAGATTATGATTTATACTTCATTTAATATGGACAGCAAACATGTTTTTCATAGCTTTTTTTCAGGAATTAGGGCAGTGTTTAAAAAAAAGAAGATAAAATACTAATCAAACTGAGAGAAAAATGGATGGTTATATTTCTATGGATTTAAGATCCTTTATTCTTTTTTTGTTTCTATCTACAACAGAACAGCTCAGAGAGATTTGGGGTATTATTTTTTATATATATATACGTATGGAATTCTTAAAGCCAAAGAAATAAAAGTGCCACCTATATTTATTTTTATTTGTTCAGAAAAGGCTTCAGGAAAATGTTATCTTTATGTTAATTCTTAACAAAGGAAGTTTTTACCCCAAATGTTTGCTTTTTTATCTTTATGTAAAATGTCAAAGCTGGTGTTAACGCAAGACGAATATTTGAATATAAAGCTAAATATGATATGATCTCCTTAATTGGTAGCACTGCTGGACCTGATAGCAAAGAATGGCTTTACACCCAGAAATGGTGGCCACTCAAACTTCAATGGCACTCCAGGGCCTCGACAGTGGCACACCCCCTGCAATGACACAAAAGCAGAAGAACAGCCTACAGAAACCTCCAAATCTTACACATCAGAGCAGCTGGAGGCAGTGAGAAGGTACAAGATAAATAGATTTGCTGTTGGCATAATTCTGTTTTAAATCTGTCCTTCCTGTTCCCAATCATGCCTTTTCACACAGAGTAAAACAATGCAAAGACTACTATGAAATCCTCGGGGTCGAGAAAGATTTCTCCGAGGACGAGCTGAAGAGGTCGTACAGAAAACTGGCTTTGAAATTCCATCCTGACAAGAATCACACTCCGGGCGCAACAGAGGCATTTAAAGGTGTTTTAATCAGGAAAGTGAAACATGAGGCGGATGCCGAATTAACTTCGAATTGTTGTTTTCTCACAGCTATCGGTAATGCCTATGCTGTTCTGAGTAATGCAAACAAAAGAAGACAATACGATCAATGGGGAGAAGAGGGAAGGCATCCTTCAAGTAGCGGCCCAGAGAATGGAAATTTCGAGCCAGACATCTCACCTGAGGACCTCTTCAACATGTTCTTCGGGGGAGGCTATCCATCGAGTTAGTATCATCGCTTCGGGTTCGAACAATCAGCTTGCTGTGATGCATCTGTAAAGGTGCTTTGTTATTCTAGGTAATGCTCATGTATATACTAATGGACGTATGCGTAACCAGAGGCGGGAGAGAAGAGAGCGACCAAGAGATGTAAGTTGATCTCTGTTGTTTCAAAATGTTATATTATATTTCTTTACTAGTTATTTATTCTTATTCTTTATTTATTATGATTGTTCTTTAATAGATACCTGTTATTTTATCTATTTTCTATTTATCTATGTATCTATTGTTTATCATGTGTTAGAAAACACAAGACAGCAGCTAAAATAAATATAAATATAGACAAAGGTGTGTCATTTATGTACAATACTGATGTTTCATTTTATCTGTCTGTATTATTATTGTTATTTATTTTATTTTTATTATTTCACTATGCATGCTGTATTTACAATCATAATTACATCCTTTCTCTCTTAATATTTTACCTCATTAATTACTCGTCTTCTAAAATAGTAATAAGTAGCTACATTTATAAAATCTATTTTATTTTTCCAAATATGCAGTTGTTTTAATTTCCACTGCTGACCTTGTCCTTTCATTTATTGAAGTTTTGTTTATTTGTTTTTTATTTTACTTTAAAAAAGGCGACAAATGTGATCAGATATTTCAGATACCTTATTTTCTAAAAATGGTGAGTGTTGACTCCTTGCAGATCAAAGATACCAAATTGCACAGTAAATAGTCTGCATTTTCTTGTTTCTTTAAGCCTAAATGCTGCATAAAACTACAGTACTGTGCAGACCCTGTGCTGTTGCGTAATGGCCAGCAGGGGGTGCTATTTAGACATTTGCCATTTTACAAGATAAAAAACGTTTATCTCCAGGGATGTTTTTCTGTGCCACATTTCGCAGGGAGGTCTGGCTATCTTCGTGCAGGTCATGCCCATCCTCATCCTAGTGATCGTGTCGGCTCTCAGTCAGATAATGGTCAACAGCCCCTCCTACAGTCTCAGCTTCAGGCCGTGAGTGTGACCCCTTATTCTAAAATCCTCCCCTAAGAAGAGTGTTAATAACAACTGATGAGGATTTAACATGAGGTCATCCTCACATTGAGGAAAGTTTTGCAACTCTGCAGAAGAAGTTTTTAAAAAGGCTTTAAATCTCTGAACTTTTTTTTTTTTTTTTTTTTTTTTTTTTTTTACAGATTCTCACATTATAACCAAAAACTTAAACATTGAAATTATATGTACATTTGTATTCTGATCTGTTTATCCTGACACCTCTAATTGGCCACCAACCGTCTTCAAAAGTCAAGAAATTAGTAGATAGTTAAACTTTTCAGTGAACACCGCAGAGCAAGAGACGTAAAGATTAATCAACATAATTGGCCAAGAGACCCGTGGTGATTTTTGAGAACCTGTAAAAATTCACAGCTCAGATTAGATAATCTGTTATAAACAAAATAATCTGCCATGCAGTCTGCAAAGAGTCCAAATAAACACCATATGTTGTGAAAGGTAATGTTGCACTTAAATCTAAATACACCATCACCAAATGGATACATGGTGGTGGAAGCATCATGCTGTGGAAATGCTTGTCCTTTGCAAAGCAATGGCAGCTGGCCAGAGTGGGTGGGTGGGTGGATGGATGGATGGATGGATGGATGGATGGATGGATGGATGGATGGATGGATGGATGGATGGATGGATGGATGGATGGATGGATGGATGGATGGATGGATGGATAGATAGGTTTTTTAATATATAGAACAATCCTGGAAATTAAATTAATAGATAAGTATAAGGATTGAAGTAATTTGGGACTAGAGAATAATGATAACAGAACTTTATTGATCTCACATTGGAGAAATTAACCTTTACATTTAACACATCACCTTGGGGAGGAGTGTGGGGTTAAGGGTGTTGCTCAGAGACCCAGAGTGGCAGTCTGTGTGAGTGGGGCTCAAACTCAGAACCTCAGGATTCCAAGCTCTATGCTCTAACCACTAGGTCGCCACTCTCCCAAACACCCCAAGAGAACCTTGCAACTGGAATAATATATTTAACATACATTTTACCGGTAGTAGCTATAGTTTCTTCATTGGAGTTCAAACATAAATCCAGTTGATTATATGTTGCAGGACTTGAAAAGGAATGTTATATCAAATCTGGCTGTTTTGAAAGGAAGAATTATTATTTTGTTTTCCAACATTGTATTTATTTGTGATATAAGTCATACACTGCAAACTGAAATCTAAATCATTTTCTTAAAATAAGAGCATTTTGTCTTGAATTGAGTAGTTACGTGAGATACTTTGCCAATGGAACAAGACAATTTACATTTAAAAATCAAAATTGTTGATTGAAAATCAGCTGCATTGTCTAATTACAAGCACATACAGTATATTCAAGTTTGAGTGTATTATGTAATTATCTTATTTTAAGTGTAAGTGTAAAACTCATTCAATTGGCAAATCATCTTATTTACCTACCCACTTGATTTAAGACATTTTTACTTATTTCTAGATAAAAATAATACTACACCTATAAATACAATTTAAATTTGTTTAAATGTGACAAACTCAAAAAGTTTCAGGGTGCATGACTACCTCGACCGAGCATATGGTAGTTTAGTAATTGGCCTTTAAAGCAATTAACCTGACTGAAATAATCACAGGCCTATTTTGTTAAATTTCAGAAAATTATGTAGTTTGTTTCAGCTGTATTTATTATAAAATAATGGGTATACTGTGGATTTATTTTAGTTTTGTGCTCACAATTGTTTTTGCAATCTGAAAAAATAAGTCCACTTTATCTTAGTTGACTCCGCCTACTGGATTATTCTTTCACTGCCTGCTGTCATGTGATATCTCTCCCACATGTTCACATTGTCCTCTCAGGTCAGCAGGCTACACCCAGAAGAGGTTGACTGAGAACCTGAAGGTGCCATATTATGTGGGGGAGCATTTCTCCAAAGAGATCACTGGTGTGAATTGGAAAAATCTAGAACGAAATGTGGAGGATGACTACATTTCAAACCTCCGCAACAACTGCTGGAAAGAGAAACAACAAAGTAGGGCTTCTTTCTGAGTATGCCCAGGCTGAATGTTTTGCAAGAAGCTTTTTGCAGCGCCCCCTCATATATCTCACATGGTTTGTTTGTGTGGTCTGTTGCAGAGGAAGGAATGCTCTACAGAGCTCGTTATTTTGGAGACAGCGAGCTGTACCAGAGAGCGCAGAGGGCTCGAACTCCAAGCTGTGCCAAGCTCTCAGAGATCACAGCCTCCTCACATTAAAGCATTACTAACCCTACATTGCTTCTCCACAGTAGCTTTAGCTCTGATTATCTTTCCTCTTGTTGCCTTTCAATTACTAGAATCACCCCAAATCACAACTAACAGGCTATAAATACATAAGCTTCAACATCCTCAAGGCAACATAGCTACAGACTGAAAAAACTAACCCCCTCCTCTCTAATTTCTATAGAGATTAGGTTTATGAGATTAACATACGATTCTTTATACATATATATTGCTATGAAATGAAAAAAGCCATCTATCACATCTTGACAAGCAAACAAGATGTAGATTTAATGTGAAGCCTGAAAGAATGGAAGCCATGCAGACAAAGATTGCTTCATCTCTGTAAGAGTTAGAGCCTAGAGCCAAACCAGAAGAAAATGTTATAAATAGAAATGCGGATGCTATTTACACAGCACTTAAAGAGATGCCATGTTGAATGCTTCCTTTTTTATTTTATGCATTCAGAGGAGATGTTTTCTCCACTGACTATGAATGCACATTCTAACTATGCAGGAATATTAGTGTAACTTCTGATAAATATGTTCACTTGCAGTTTAGGCTCAGTTAGACTCCGTCTTTTGTTTCTGTGCAGATGAGAGAGAAGAATTGGAGGATAATCCGATAACTTTTTGTCCTTTGATTAAATGAAGGACATCCATGTGTTACCTCACTTCACTGTAGATACAGAACCTTGGAAAAGTATTCACGTCCTTTGAAGCCGCCCCTTCTGAAGTTTTTTTTGCAGTGTTTCACTTTATTTCTTAAAGTACTGTCCTGCAATCAACTCGATCTAAGCATAGCGACTACTTCCATGTTTGCTGTGTCCCCTACACGGCTTAGAGCAAACTTTTAATGGACTTTTAAACAGCCTTTTCAGCGATGGCTTTTTTTATTATAATTTTTTTTTTAGTGGTGTCAGAATAAAGGGGTCCACATACAAATGCATGCCATACTCTTAAGATTTTACTACTCTTTCTTTCCATCATTTCTGACTACGTTTCCATTCCTTTTTGAATGAAAGTATGCCCACAGCACTATGCATCCTCTACCATGTTTCTCAGTGAGGAATTTTCTCAAACCAATGCTATTTGCTTTATTCCACACATAGGGCCGGATTTATCAAGATCCAATTTTGCGTGCAGTAATTTGCGCTCGCAAACTGGAATTTTGCGCAAGGGGCTGGACCATGGTTTGCGGGTGATTTAACAAGAGCGATTGCGTAACTGGTGGAAGGTGCAAAACTGTTGGAGACGCCCTATTTCCTATTTAAATGATGGTTTTGCGCGTTTTGTGGTTTGCGGCAAAGTAGTTTGTAGTCTGTACAAACTAGTGCATTAAGAAATTTAAATCTTACAGTGACCCCCAACAAAAAAAATAAATAAGTAAATATATATATATATACACTATATTGCCAAAAGTATTTGCTCACCCATCCAAATTATTGGAATCAGGTGTTCCAATCACTTCCATGGCCACAGGTGTATAAATTCAAGCACCTAGGCATGCAGACCGTTTTTACAAACATTTGTGAAAGAATGGGTCGCTCTCAGGAGCTCAGTGAATTCCAGCGTGGAACTGTGATAGGATGCCACCTGTGCAACAAATCCAGTCGTGAAATTTCCTCGCTCCTAAATATTCCACAGTCAACTGTCAGCTGTATTATAAGAAAATGGAAGTGTTTGGGAACGACAGCAACTCAGCCACGAAGTGGTAGGCCACGTAAACTGACGGAGCGGGGTCAGCGGATGCTGACGCGCATAGTGCGAAGAGGTCGCCAACTTTCTGCAGAGTCAATCACTACAGACCTCCAAACTTCATGTGGCCTTCAGATTAGCTCAAGAACAGTGCGCAGAGAGCTTCATGGAATGGGTTTCCATGGTCGAGCAGCTGCATCCAAGCCATACATCACCAAGTGCAATGCAAAGCGTCGGATGCGGTGGTGTAAAGCACGCCGCCACTGGACTCTAGAGCAGTGGAGACGCGTTCTCTGGAGTGACGAATCGCGCTTCTCCATCTGGCAATCTGATGGACGGGTCTGGGTTTGGCGGTTGCCAGGAGAACGGTACTTGTCTGACTGCATTGTGCCAAGTGTAAAGTTTGTTTGAGGGGGGATTATGGTGTGGGGTTGTTTTTCAGGAGCTGGGCTTGGCCCCTTAGTTCCAGTGAAAGGAACTCTGAATGCTTCAGCATACCAAGACATTTTGGACAATTCCATGCTCCCAACTTTGTGGGAACAGTTTGGAGCTGGCCCCTTCCTCTTCCAACATGACTGTGCACCAGTGCACAAAGCAAGGTCCATAAAGACATGGATGACAGAGTCTGGTGTGGATGAACTTGACTGGCCTGCACAGAGTCCTGACCTCAACCCGATAGAACACCTTTGGGATGAATTAGAGCGGAGACTGAGAGCCAGGCCTTCTCGTCCAACATCAGTGTGCGACCTCACAAATGCGCTTCTGGAAGAATGGTCAAAAATTCCCATAAACACACTCCTAAACCTTGTGGACAGCCTTCCCAGAAGAGTTGAAGCTGTTCTAGCTGCAAAGGGTGGACCGACGTCATATTGAACCCTATGGATTAGGAACGGGATGTCACTTAAGCTCATATGTGAGTCAAGGCAGGTGAGCAAATACTTTTGGCAATATAGTGTATATATATATATATATATATATATATATATATATATATATATATATATATATATATATATATATATATATATATATATATATATATATATATATATATATATATATTTACTTATTTAGGGGGTCGGGGTTCTCCCCCTGCGCCTGTGGAGCAACGTGCCAAATGCTGCGGGGATCCCATCCACAGTCACAGGCCAATACATAACACCTGTTTTTTTTTTGTTTTTTTTACTGCAGCACATACCACCTTAGGGAATAAAGGTTCCCCGCAGCATTTGGCACGTTGCTCCACAGGCGCAGGGGGAGAACCCCGACCCCGTCGGACAGCACTTCTGAAAAAACGAGATTGGGAGATCCCAGCTCTCGCTGCAACCGTACGCTGGAATGACCCAGATGCAAAAAAGTGCAATGTTGCAAGGAGTTTTGTGATATCTGGTATTGCGTGGGTCCTCCTTGTGGCTGGCTCCAAATCCATTCGGAGTTCCCCCAACAGCTCCAAAATGGCAATATGCTGGATAAACTATATGTTTTGATGATCGTTTCCTCGTTCATTGCAAAAATATTCACACGGAGTGAAAAAATGCGTTCTCTGCGTCGCCTTGCTTTATTTCGATGTCTCCTTCTTGCGACAATAACCGCTGCCATGTGTGCGCGATTACGCATACAGACCATTTGCACCTTCTTTTGAAACGTGTTAAATATAGAGTCAGATACCGTTAGCAAAATTGCTTTCAGGTTTAATAAATCACTTTGCGAGTGCTAAATTAACATATTTGCATGTTCTCCTCCCACAAGACGCACTTTAGCGTGTAAACGCCCCATATTGCATATTCATAGCAGAAAAAGTACTAAATGGATAAGAGGCGCTATTTAGCACGTTTTAAAGACCAAATCCTTTTAGCACGCTGTTGATAGATCAGTTTGTACATTTTTTAGCGTGCGCAGTGAAATAGCTCACGTTTTAATACACGCAAACCTTTGATAGATCCGGCCCATAGTGTGCAACCCAAAATGTTCAGTTTTAGGTCTCACCTGACAGTTCTCTCACCTTTTAAGTTGCGGATCCATGAATAGAGTCATAGATATCTGCAGTTCCTCCAGAGTTACTATAGTCTTGTCTTGGCTGCTTCTCCACAAAAAAACCTCTTTGGTCTCTTGGTTCAGGCTAAAAACAATATATTTTCTCTTTTAGAGTGACTATTGAAGTAATGGGTGTTATTTAGGGATATTGGAGTCAAAATGGGCCATGTTTGATTGCAATGACTTAAATATAACAAAATACATTTAATTTTTAGGCTGTAAAAAAACCAAATATATAAGAATGCTCAAAGGGTATGAATACTTTTCAAAGGCACTTTAGCAAAAGGATGAAAGGTGCTTCTACCCACCAGGTGGGACTACAGCATGATGTAGTTTTTGCAATTTAATGTCTGATGCATCCCGCCTTTAATTTTTAATGTGATTTCCTGTTTTGTTCAAGTTTTTACATACTGTACATCATCAGACAGCAAAAAGAAGAAAGCCTGCTTTTTATTTTCCGCTCTGTTTCTATTCCCAGTTTAAAATAAAGATGGATGCCTGAACGTGTTGAATGTGACTCATTGCTGTGAGTAGAACAAACACGGAGGTGGAAAAAAAAAAAAAAAAAGACAGAACAAAAGCTCAGTCAGCATATTTAGCACAAACTGTGCTGAGGGCTGACTAAGGCTGAGAGCTGGACACATGGCAGCGTGCACGTTCACGCTTTGAGAGTGAGACGTGCAGACTGTCCCGAGCAGCAGAGACGGCAGCGTCACATTCTTTCTCTATTAATAGGCTCAGCTGTTTTGGCAGATGTTGCAACTTTTACTCTCTGTCAGACTTTTTGCTTTGTTCCCCTCCAATTTGTTTCAACATCACTCTTTAATTTATGCTTGTATCAGCCTTGTTGAACTATTAGATATATGAGAAAACAGAAAAATCCAGATCCCTTCACTTAACAGATTCTTGACTATCAAGTAATTTTGCCTCTATTGTAATGGCTGATGTTACCTTCACAGAGAAAGTCTTTGCATTAGTACAAATTAATCTAAGATTAATGCATGTACAGAATTCAATTTAGGTTAAATATTTCACATATAAAACTCAAATGAATTCTCAAATCTTAAGAATGGGTGCAAGTCACCAGAGCAGAGGTGTAGTCAGAAAATTTTAATAAGGGTGGCCAGGCAATAACCAATGTACACTGAGGGGGGGCCAAAAGTAAAACATCCATATTTTCTAAATAAAGACAAACTATACTTTCCTAAAGAATTTGCTAACAAATAGACGCATATATTTAAACTTCGGTGCTTTCAAGATAAAAGGTATAGTGAATAAAATTCTTTCAGGTTTGAGTTTTGGGCGAAGATCTTTTCCATTGTCATTACTTACCTACTTTTTATCAATAATCATCTTCCATAAAATTGATATTTACAAGTATTAAGATCTACATAAATTGATTATTTAATACGTTTTTATTAAAATAGTTATTTATCTGATTTCATTAAAGACTCCTAGATGACTGCAGACACACATAATTTTCTCTTTAACCCATAAAACACAAAATCTAGTTCTGAAAAGAGCATGAATTCTGTACTTATCATCTTTAACGTTGGTATATGGATGTGCATAATTAACCACAGTGTTTTTGTTATCAAGTAATTATGTATATATGAAAAAATAGTAATTAATATATGAAAAATGTAAATGTTTTGTATATTCCACTTGATTATTAGGGGGAAAAGATGATAGGGGTGGAGCTAGATGGAGGGCCACCCCTGGCCCCCCATCTAGCCCCACCCCTGCACCAGAGAAGCAAGCTTTTTGTTTACATCCAAAACACGCAATGATACATTTATATATATATATATATATATATATATATATATATATATATATATATATATATATATATATATATATATATATATATATATATATATATATATATATATATATATATATATATATATATATATATATATATATATATATACACTATATTGCCAAAAGTATTTGCTCACCCATCCAAATTATTGGAATCAGGTGTTCCAATCACTTCCATGGCCACAGGTGTATAAATTCAAGCACCTAGGCATGCAGACTGTTTTTACAAACATTTGTGAAAGAATGGGTCGCTCTCAGGAGCTCAGTGAATTCCAGCGTGGAACTGTGATAGGATGCCACCTGTGCAACAAATCCAGTCGTGAAATTTCCTCGCTCCTAAATATTCCACAGTCAACTGTCAGCTGTATTATAAGAAAATGGAAGTGTTTGGGAACGACAGCAACTCAGCCACGAAGTGGTAGGCCACGTAAACTGACGGAGCGGGGTCAGCGGATGCTGACGCGCATAGTGCGAAGAGGTCGCCAACTTTCTGCAGAGTCAATCACTACAGACCTCCAAACTTCATGTGGCCTTCAGATTAGCTCAAGAACAGTGCGCAGAGAGCTTCATGGAATGGGTTTCCATGGGCGAGCAGCTGCATCCAAGCCATACATCACCAAGTGCAATGCAAAGCGTCGGATGCGGTGGTGTAAAGCACGCCGCCACTGGACTCTAGAGCAGTGGAGACGCGTTCTCTGGAGTGACGAATCGCGCTTCTCCATCTGGCAATCTGATGGACGGGTCTGGGTTTGGCGGTTGCCAGGAGAACGGTACTTGTCTGACTGCATTGTGCCAAGTGTAAAGTTTGGTGGAGGGGGGATTATGGTGTGACGTTGTTTTTCAGGAGCTGGGCTTGGCCCCTTAGTTCCAGTGAAAGGAACTCTGAATGCTTCAGCATACCAAGACATTTTGGACAATTCCATGCTCCCAACTTTGTGGGAACAGTTTGGAGCTGGCCCCTTCCTCTTCCAACATGACTGTGCACCAGTGCACAAAGCAAGGTCCATAAAGACATGGATGACAGAGTCTGGTGTGGATGAACTTGACTGGCCTGCACAGAGTCCTGACCTCAACCCGATAGAACACCTTTGGGATGAATTAGAGCGGAGACTGAGAGCCAGGCCTTCTCGTCCAACATCAGTGTGCGACCTCACAAATGCGCTTCTGGAAGAATGGTCAAAAATTCCCATAAACACACTCCTAAACCTTGTGGACAGCCTTCCCAGAAGAGTTGAAGCTGTTCTAGCTGCAAAGGGTGGACCGACGTCATATTGAACCCTATGGATTAGGAACGGGATGTCACTTAAGCTCATATGTGAGTCAAGGCAGGTGAGCAAATACTTTTGGCAATATAGTGTATATATATATATATATATATATATATATATATATATATATATATATATATATATATATATATATATATATATATATATATATATATATATATATATATATATATATATATATATATATATATATATATATATATATGTCAAACTCAAGCTTGTGAATCATCAAAAAGGTTACCCTAACTTACTTAGGACCAATAAATGGAACTATGTTTTATGAGGAAATGTGATCTACACAATTATAGTGAAGAGTGCTGACTTGACAGCTGTCCAGAGGACAGTCATTGGCAGCTCTCACCAGGAGGGTAAGCCAACAAAGGCCAAGGCAGAAACATTACTTAGATGAGCTATGCAGAAATGGGATATGGCTGTTTATTTTAAATGGTCTTTTTTTACCGGTAGATTGAAATATTGGTTTAATTCATAAAACAAAAGAGGAAAAGTAGTGAGTCACAGGGAATCTATGCTTTCTAGATCAGAGGTTTGCAACCTACGGCTTTGGAGTGGCTGTGGCTCTTTGGACCCTCTACAGTGTCTCTTAATAGTGATGCTATTTGAATAGAATTTTCACAACTGAATGACATTAAAGGAAACAGAATTATTTTTAGAGACATTAGCTTGGATAATGTATTTATTTTTATTTTTTTACATCAAATAACCTTAAGAAAAAAAATGAAAGCTTCTTATTTATGAATAGTTTATTTTCCCTTAGTTTAAAATCTAAAGCTGCAAAAGTGTTGGTTGTCTGAAATGGCAACACCTTTCCTATTGCAGATATATAAGCAGAAGCTGATTAGCTGATGAGGTAGGCCAGCTCTGAGATTGGATGCCCTCTGGACTCAGTGCAGGACTTGGGAAACAAAATGATCCTTACTAAATTAACATCTCTGTTGGATAATGTTTCCCACCCCATGCATGAAGCTGTTGCAGAACTAGAGAGCTCCTTCAGTGACAGACTGCTGCACCCTAAATGCACCAGGGAGCCTTATCACAGATCCTTCCTCCCAGCAGCTGTAAGGCTTTATAACCACCACTGTTCCCAACAATCTCAGTAAGTTGTTACATTCATGCTGATTTTGCACAGTTTCTATCTTAGTCAGTTAAATAAAATGCAGCTATAATTTTGCACATTGCTGATGTTGGTGCTATTTTCAAATGTCCATTACTGTTAAAATGTTGATAGCTTTATATTGGTTGTTTATTGTCCAGATACACAGTATTTATATTGTTAAAACACTGTACAGTACAGTATTTTGTTTATGATTTAACTCCTCGCCAAATATGTTATTCTTATACATTTTTCTAAGGTCCACATTTGTGTGACAATTATTTTCTATAATTTTTTTGCTGCTGTAAACACCAGAATTTCTCCATTGTGGGACAATGAAGGGATTTTCTATTCTAATTTACTCTATTCTATATATATATATATATATATATATATATATATATATATATATAGAGGTTTTGTTTTATTAAAAGGCTGCAGACCCCTGTTCTAGAGCAGGATGGTACCACCGTGCTATATTGGCAAGCTTGTTCAGCCCAACCTAAATCCCACCAAACTGTAGGGTAAAAAAGGCAAAAGTAGGACCCAACAATGCAGACAAGCTGAAAGTTGTTAATAAAGAAACCTTCCCTCCAGCAGAGCCACAAACTTTTTACTTCCGGCAGACTGTAGCATTGTGGGATTTCATGCTGTATTAAAACTCCTCTTTAATTGCCTAATGGGATATTACAATTTTTTCTTTTGTTGTATAACTCAACCTATATATGCACATATTAATGTGTGTTATTCAGCATAGTAAATCTGTATTCTGTTTTTTTTTTTGTCTGCAGCCAAATATTCCCACTTGTGGGACAAGAAAGGCATTTCTACTCTTTTAATGTTAACAGAAATGGAGGATCTAAATGAAACTAATGTTTTGCATTTTCTTATGTATATAGTTCTCTCTAAACTTTACAAGCTATGTAAGTGATCACCTGAAGAACATTCTGGATCCAAATGGAGGCCTGTCACAATTAGCATGTGATTTTCTACTTCTTTTCGGGAGTTATATTTATATCTTGTTGCATAAAGATCCACAGTAATGATTTAAAGCTCACCAACTGAAGAAAAACAGCTTTAAAATGCTTGTGCAGACATTTTGATTTGATTACCTCTATTACTGGCTAACACTACACCTACAAAGCCAAAGATCGCACTTTAGTAATAGGTAAGAAATCACACTCAGAAAACCAAACAAAAGAATTTATATGAAAAAACAATAATTTATTTGACATCATGAAAGTACAAAAACAGTGCAACGTTATGCGAGTCAGAGTATAAAACAAAGTTGTAAGCATGAGGTCCAAACAATTAAAAAAAAAAAAAAAAGAGAAAAAAATAGATAAGGTCTGAAACCTTAGCTGTAGCTTGCAAATGTACAAGCCCTGGCTGGTTTTAACTCTGGGAGTGTCAAAGTTATCCAACATGATGCTCCAAGTTATGATCCACCATGTTTATGTAAAAAAAAAAAAAAAAAAAAAAAAAAAAAAATCTGCAAGGACTTAAGGAATACAGCTAGCTGCCGTGACAAAGCTTCCATAGAAACTAAGGTTCACACTTTAATTTTTGCAAAATGCCCATTTACCAAAATGAAGCACGATGGTTAGGCTTAAAATAAAAGATACTCCAAGTACCATAAACTTCAGGTCCTGTACAGTGAGAACAAAAGGCTACATCAAACCGAAGTCCATCCTTAAAGTTCAAATGGCATATATTTTGAAATTCAAAGGCCCTTCTGTGAGTTTTTACTGTCGACTCAAGACATTCAACATTCCTCTATAAGCAGGCCTTCAGAGGAATACAGTTTCTTTTTAATAACACGGAACCCAGTGCTTAGTTTTAGAGCTTGTCTTATAGCTGGAGTGGAAGGAGACTTGGAGCTGAACAGTCCTTGGATTTTAGGCCACAGGCCACCTGCCTCTAGCCTCAGCACCAGAGTCAACTGAAATGTGGGGACGAGGTAGGGATCCACAGATAACTGTCCTATGCTCTCGCAGGTGGACCCTTGCTCCACGCAGAGGTCAATGAGGGCCCCTCTTAAGCCACAGGGCTCGCTAGCTGCCAGGTGGAGGAGCTCCTCTCCGATGTGTTCCAGAAGTTTCTCTGGAATGAGTAGCTTGGTACATCTCAAAGCGCAATCTGAGTCTTTGGCCTCTCTTAGGCTTCGTGCAATAAGCTCCACTACTTCCTTCAGGATTGCTTCCTCCATAGGGTCAAAGAAAAGGTCATCCTTGGATGGACACAGATCACTGGAGACATCAGATTCTGCAGGAGAACAACAATGTGAGTACTTTCAGCATCTCTAAACAGATATAACCTAAAAAATGAAGTTTTGATTCAAACATTTAAGGGGAAAAAATGCTTACCTGAGTCTGAAAGATCACTCCTGCTGCCATTGTCGGACCTTGATCCAATGCTGCTATCGCATGAGTTGAAATCTGCCATTCTTTGGACCAGTTTTCCCCAAGACAGCCTTCTGGGACTGCTGTCCACTGGGGATGGAGGTATACTGCCTGCCTCTATGGGTGCAAAGACTTCAGGCATGTTTGTCTTCTCTTCAGTGTTCAGCAGACAGTCCTCAGATCTCAACTGTCTAATGAAGACAAATAAAGAAACACATAAGAACATTAAACCTCAAAGCAATTCTCCAACAGTCAACTGTTAAGACTTGCAGCTAACAAAAGCTTGTGACATCACCAGCTGACCTGGTTAAATGTCTCTAATTCCAACAAAGATTAAATATATACTTACAATTTGAAATAAAGCTGTTAAAGTGCGTATTCGCTGTTTAAAGTGGGAAATTATTGTCTGGAAACTTCCACCGTCCGTTCGCTCCACCTTCCTTCTCAGTCAACAGCTGTCGGGCTCTGCAGTAGCTCTCAGCCTGCACAACAATGGTTATATACGAGTTCCTTTAAGCCACGCCCATTGTACCCTGACCAGCCAATCAAAAAGAGGGGCACGGCATGTGAGCTGTAGCTTGCCTGGTAACATGCCAATAGAAAAGAAAGACAAACAGGCGGCGGGCGAGGTTTGGACGGGAGGGGGGCTTCAACCGCACTGTAGTGGAAATGTACAGGGACGTGTCTGGGCTTGTAAGCGTCCTATAGCGGTTCTTTTGTCTAGCATAATCAATAGGCTTTCATATGTTGTTGTTTTTCTTTTTTTTGCTGTTGCATGTGCATTGGAAGCCATAAAAGCAAAGAGAGTCCGTGCCGACCTGGTTATAGCTGGTTCAGGATCAGAGTGTACAGTACATTACGTCACCTGTTTTTTCGCTAAAGCATTACATCAGAATTTTTTATCTGCCTCATGGAGATGCCAACATGCTGCATAATGTAAAACTTACCAATAAATGAAAATTGAAACATATATATATATATATATATATATATATATATATATATATATATATATATATATATATATATATATATATATAATGTATATTACTCATACGAGATGTTGAAACACATTTTAAAATGAGACAAAGACAAATGCAAATACAAAAAAATGCTTTAAAATGACCATTTCATTTATTAACTGAAAAAGAAATTCAACCTGCCACAATTAGGAACACAATCCTATAAATCATTAATGAATCGTGTAAGCTAAAATACTTAAAAGACTTCTAAAAATTAATATATCATGGCTTCTATAGTTGCCTCCCTCCCTGTTTTCTCCAAGAGTGCAACAACAACTTACTTAAGCAAACTCAGCTTCCCTTAATTGAGGATTTGACATAGACAGGGGAAAAAAGGCATCCAAGGAAAACACCTATGGTATAATAATTGCTGATAAAAAATAATGCTAAGTAAAAAATATTGCACCTACTGTAGAACAAAGAATTTAAGAACATGACACTAGAATTTAAACCAAGTGCTGGTACTGCAGTGGTCTGGGGCTGCTTCCTGCTTAAGGCCTCTGACAGCTTGTCATAAGTATTGGAGGTCCCATCAATGTCTGTCCATTCTGTACAGACTTACATTATAAGACAATGGCTCCTCAGCTCATGTTTTGGAAAATTAAAAATACTAACAAATTGAAAAGTTGTGTTAAATTTACAAAATAAATCAATTCTTAAATCGGCCCTCTGGTGCATTTACGGTGCAAAGATAGACAGCTGCACCCTAAATGCACCAGGTAGCGTTATCACAGATCCTTCCTCCCAGTAAGATCTTATAACCACTGTTCCCAACAACCTCAGTAATTTGTCACCTTTATGCACATCTCTGGTGTTGCTACTATTTTCACATATCCATTACTGTCAAAATATTGAAAGCTGATTATTATTTATTCTCCAGATACACCTTATTTATATTGTAAAAACACTGTACAGAACATTATTTTGTTTATTTCCTTAACTCTGTCACTTATTCTGTTATTTTTATACACTTCTATGGTCCACATTGTGTGACCACTTCTGCTATAACCTTTTGCCGCTGCTGTAATGCCACAATTTCCCCATTTTGGGACAATAAATGGTTTTTCTATTATATTCTTTTTTAAATGCTTAAATGGGATTTCAGACACGCAATCTGATTTTTTTTTTCTCTTTTCACCAGTTTTTTCCCATTCACCTTTAAACTTGAAATGGCACAGTGATTATTTAAATAAACTTTGGTAGCAAAGTCTTTAAAAAAAAAAGGCCATGTTTGCGGCTCTAAACAATTTTTATTAGCTGGACTGAATGTGAATCTTTTAAAGGCTGCAGACCCCTGGTATATAGAATATTCATACTTAAATTTGGGGTACTTTTTCACATAGAGCAGAGTATTGTTTTAATTTTGAGCGCTTAAATTATTAGAATAAATTGAAACCTGCAAACAGGTTAGTATTGATATGAGATGCTTAATGATCAATAGTTTTAAAAAGCATGCAGAAACAGTATGAAAGTGGTGTGTGTGGGGGTTGCAACTATCTTTCTTCTGTAGGACTAGATCGTGAAAGGCTGAAAATTTGGGGCGATGAATAGGGGTACAGAAATGTGTGATTAAATGAATACAGCAACACAGAATAAGGATTCAGGTCTTTAAAAAAAATGGTTTCCTTGTACAAAAAACAAAACAAACATTTCGATTGGATCACTTATGGGTCAACAAGCTTTACATACACAGCACTGTTAGATCATAGAAAGAGTTCTGGATAACAGCCAGATTAATGTTATACTGCTTCACATGCGTAGGCGTGGAAGAGTCTGTACTTTTCAAAGGAGGAACTGAAAGACAAAAGCACATCACAGCACACTGTGTTCTATAGAGGATGTGTAGGGTTAGGAGAGTGAAACCGCAAATTTTAATTTAAAAAGTCGTTTTCATAAGCAAAGGGAAGCGAGCTATATAAAAAGAAGTAAACAAACTACATAAGCAACAACTGTAAAAGTGTTCTGAATCAAACTCCTTGTAGATGAAATCTAACTCGCAGCTGGAGGTGTGTCCTCCAGTGGCTAGGGCCAGGCCAGAGAACAGTACGTTCTGTGCATTCCCGGCCTTCATTTGGATGAAAACAACCGTTCAGAGTGCAGGGCATCTGATCCGTGTGCTTGGGTTTTTTGTTTTTCTTGCTGTAAACACAGAAAGATAGCTGCACGAAATCAACAGTGCTGCTGCACGAAATCAACAGTGCTGCTGCACGTCAAACTTTGGCATGTTAAAGAAGCAGGAAATCATGAGGAAATTACTGATCAGATCAACAGAAGCAAAAGCATAAGTGTTAGTGAGATGGAATATAGAGCACAAACCTCACAACACCAACCAAAATACATTTCTCAAGAGCTTTATTCATCTAAATGGGATGAAAAATCTATAAATATGAATATTAATTAAGGTTGCAATTTTTGTTATAAGAGTTAAGCTGATAGGGATTTTGGTTTCATGATACACATTAATGCGAAAAGGTAAAAAAAAATATATAAAACAAAAGTGCAACTTAAACTCAACACTTTGAAACAACTTTAAAGTTTATGTTACAGTGTAAACTCTTACAGGTAGAAATAGGACATGTGAGACAAATAAAACACTTCTTTTTGGCTGACTGTTTCCCCCCATAAAGGCATCCGATGGTCGTTATTTAGGACGGTGTGAATCCCAAAAGCTGCTCTATTGGTTTGTACCGCCACTCGTCTGCTTCTAGCTCCTCCACGAGGCTTGCAAGTTTCTCCATTCTAGATGCTTGTTGATCTGAAAAAACAAACAGCTTATTTTATCAACCATATTTTATTGGATAAATCCACAAGGAACGTAGATATAGTGTGTTTTACTAAAGAATTCAAACTGACCCCTTTTCAAACTTTGTTACATTTCATTAACATGCATAAATCTAATCTATTGTGATTTTATTAGAGAGAAATCCACAAATTTAAACATTAAAGTTGAAGGGAAACAAAAGCTGAAGTTCAGAATTTTTAACAAACACAAAATCTGGGAGGTCTGCCCCCGTTTAATAAGTTATCCCTAAGAAAATGACAATGCTAGGAACTGACTCCAGAAGTCAGTTAATTAGAAACTGGTGAAATAAAAGTATAAGTGTTAGCTATAAGCCATAGAGGGTTAACAGGAAAACAGTGGAAATCCGTGCTTGGATCAGGTAATACCAAAGTTAAACTTTGAATCTACATTGTTAACATAGTGTATAGTAGTTGCATCATAATGATGCTCTTCTTCAGCATTGACAGTAAAGCTGGTCAGAGATCATGGGTTAATGGTTGAGTCAGAGTCAAATCTGAATAAACACAAGAATCTGTTTCAAGACTTAAAAGGTACACTTTCTATCCAGCTAAAGCAATATTGTAAAAAGAAAGGCGAACTGTTGATTCCCAAATGTACAAACCTATAAACAAACTGCAGCTGTAATTTTAGTAAAAGGTAGTTTCCAAAAAAGTGCTGACTAATGTTAGCTGAATACAAATGGACCACACATTTTCTAAACTTTATTAGTAAAAACAGGAAAAAAAAAAAAAAATCAATCATCCTTCTCTTTTACAGTCATAATATGCAAATTACTTTGAGACGAACATAGAAGCATACGTGAAGACAGATGTCAAAAAGAAACTGACTCACCTTGTTTAACCTGCTTTAATGTGGAGGCAACTTGGTAGCTGAACACAGATTCACACAAAAATCTGTCAGATCCATCTGAAAAAAAAGATACATTGAAAAATGAAACCAAGTACTTCAAACAGTAAATATGTTTCAGCTTTTCTTACTTGTAATCTTTGTATTTCATACCAAAACGCCTAAACCTATTTTAGTTTGGCCAATTCATTGAAGCATTTTATCTTCTTTGGGTATGGCTGAATGATTTAGCTTAAAGTGAAAATTGCAATTTAATCACCCAAAATTGCAATTTTTGTTTAATTTTTCTTTGCGCCAACTACAATCATCTGGATGATTTAATCCAGGGTTTTATGGTTTTCATGACGTTGAAAGCTTTCTCGTCCAGAGTTCATTTTCTTTACTGTTAATGCTGTATGGTAAAGTGCTTACTTTTACTCACACACACGGTTCTAGACATTACCTGCAACTCTCCTTCGTCTCTTCTATGTCGCAACAAACCTACTTTAATTGAATGTCTCTGCAATATTAAAATTGCATTTTTTAAAGTTTTGATCATATTAATAGTGCAATTCATTTTGAAGTTGTGTAATTTTGTCTCCTTTTCACACATTCTTTATGAATGACAAGACATTATAGTGAACATCTTTCCAAAGTTTGTATATCCGGAAACTAAAATATTGGTCAATTTGTCTGCAAAACAGTTAAAGCTCAGTCAGACCGGATATACAAGTACCAATCTGTGATGAACTAGACACAACTTCTTTTAGAAATGGCCGTCTTTTTCCCTTAAGTTCAGACTTGGATTACTGATACTAGTTAACAGACACCTATTCACTGACCTTAAGCTGCTTCTTAAAATATTGGTCCAATTTTACAGCTTGTAAGGTTATGTGAACCATGTTTATTGTAGATAATCAGTACAATAGCGGTTTTGGAGAACTTTAAAGCAGAGTTTGTTCTTGCTGTTATATAATAGAGTTTCTGGACATATTTTCATTAGCAAACCTCTGAAGACTTCACAGATTAACTGTCCTTAAACATACTAATCTGTGATTAGTGATTAGTATGTTTATGGGATTAAAGAGGGCTATGCAAATAAAAATGATTGCCTGAATCATATCCTTTCTCTTCTCAACTTTGTAGTTTGTCTTGAACTATCACACAAAATAATGAAGTACATCAGTTAGTGGATTTGGATGAATTTGATAAGGTTGTGTATTATAATGTCCCCATTAGCATACATTTACGTTCCTCATATAATGAACAGATTTCCCTGCACCCAAAACAATGTCTACTTGCAATATAAACTAGCTGACAGCTGAAAGCCTACCTTCCATCATTTCTCCTGCTCCTTTAGGGTATGTGTAGAGAACCTTCCTTGGAGGGATGAGGTCTGAGGCGCTGAATCCAGAGCCTGTAACCGAGCTACCGCTTACACCTCCAGCAGAGGAGGATGATGAGGACGCGGCCATTTCCTTTGGAAAACAAACAACCAAAAACACTTTTAAAAAAGCCTATGATAACTTTATCTACTGCTAATCCTAGAGTGAAAGCTGAATATCCGAGAATCCATCAGAGATTAAGCCAAACAACAACAACAACAAAAACATCAGCCTAAAACCACAACACAAATATTCAACGGTTTCCGAGCGAACTTCATATACATGTAATCAGCTACCAGAACGGCTTACAGAAAAAAAGGTAACTTTAGCACTGGAGAAACCCATCTACAATATTCTCTACACAGCTTAACTTTCTCTAAACAGTAAAACCTACCGTAAATGTCCAAAAATGTCGGCTTTATTTCTACACGACGACCCTTGGGTTTGTTTATAACTCCGTAATTTAACACAGAACATATACAGTGGCAATTTAAACGTCTAATTACAATAACGTTTCAGCTCAGCTAGCTGAAGCTAGCTATACTTGAAGATCTGTACAAACTGCCGTAAAGTATCTGAAATTGTCGTAACGTTATTTAACGTTAACCAGAGCTAGCATACGTGAGTGGCTTGCTAGCTGGTTACATTTAAAGATAAGTTTCGCACCATTCTGTCTAAGTTTTACTTAACGATGGATATCCTACGTCCCCCGCTTATCAACATAAACGGCAGAATATATCGAAGGAATATAGTTAAAGAAGAACCATATGAAGAGGAAGATGATTTCTCGTACACTGGACCATCTGGTAAGTAAACATAATATAAAGGCTTGCATAAATATTCATACCCCTTTTTCACATTGTATCACGGTTTAAAAAGTAAAGTTGCATAATCAAGTATAAGTATGTCAGTCTGATAAGAGGTTTGATAATGTTTGGCGAGAGGAAAACTGTTCTTAAACAAATCTATTCTTTATGAAGTAGTAGCTATGGTGTCTGGGTAAAATAAAACACCAAAATGTTTTGCCCTAATTCATAGTGTCCTAAGCTTTCCTATTGTTCCTGTGTTAAAAAATGGTCTAGTCAAAGTCCAGACCTCAATCCAAATGAAAAGCTGTGACAGGTCTTGAAAATCTTGGTATTCAAAGATTCTCTCCATAAAATCTGTTTTAATTAAAAGAATACCTTAATCTCCAAGGAAAAGTTGTTATTTTGAATAGTTTTATTTCACATCAATTCACAATTAGAAATGTTACAAAAATAATAATTATTTAGAATTATTTTTCAACAAATAAAACATACATAATGTAACAATTGCTCTTAATATGTCTTATAAATAGCAAATTAAATGTTTCTGTGATTTAAGAAAGTAAAGATCTGACAGAGGATGAAACCTGTGATCTCCACCTCATTGAAGAGACGGATAAAGGATACCGCTGCGCCATTGATGTCCCAAGTGTCCTTTACAAGTAAGTTGTGAACAAAAGGCTGGTGTTTATCTGAAAGGAATATATTTTTGTGGGAGAAGTGGTGTACCATGTGTCTGTGAACATGTTTTTATGTTGTTGTACAGATATATCATTGGTAAAAAAGGAGAAACTCGTAGACGCCTGGAGTCTGACACCAAAACCTCAATCAGTATTCCAAAACAAGGAATTGAAGGCCAAATTGGTGAGGATTACTGTCAAATGATGTCCTTCTCAACTGATCTGTGAGCTAATTTTGTCATATTTCTGCATTTTTATGCTTTATAGTTATCACCGGTGCCCAAAAATCTGCAGTTTCATCTGCAGTCACTCGAGTGGAGGTCCTTGTGGAGAGTTTTAGAAAGAAACAGCCTTTCACTCACTTCCTGTCTTTCCCTTTGAATGATTCTAAAGTTCAAGAGGGATTCCAGACCTTTAAAAAGGAGGTGTTGCAGCAGTGTTCACAGGTGCTCCAAATATAATAAAAAAAAGATAGAAAAACTTTTGGAAGTAGTTTGATATCTTTCCCATCTGTGATGATAAATAAATCACAATACCTAATATGCAGGACCACGGAGTGGAGGAAAGCATCTTTCAAAACCCTGCGAAACTTCACTTAACCATTGGCACCATGGCTCTGTTAAATGACACAGAAGTGAGAAAAGCATTTGATCAACTCCAAGAATGCCAAAGTTTTATCAGGTAGGAGCTTAAGAAGCAACATTTTCATGGTAGGCTTAAAGTTATGATCAATTCTGAAGCAAAAATATATGTAATAAAAAACATTGAACCTGCTCTCTAAAAGAACATATTTTTACTATTTATTTTAAAGCACAGGAAAAAAAATAGATAAATCATCACAGTATCTTTTATAGTGTTACCTAATTGGGCTGTACACATTTGTTTTTTTAAAAACTGTTTAAAACTCACTAACCAGCATTGGATGGTATCAAAAAATCATGAAACAACAGGTGGAGAAGGCGTATACCACAAGTTATAGTGATAGCTTGGGTCACTATGACACTTTTCCTGTTATCTTATCGAAAGGCCTTAAACAGTAGGAGTGGTTTGACAGAATGTTTTATCTACTTTAAAACCGCAATTTAATAAAGCCATCTCAAACATTGATGCTGGTAACGTTTCTGTGCGTAGTTGCCAGACAATATTCAAGTTTTTTTTGTTTTTGCTTGTTTATCTGTGCACTTCATCAGGGACATCACTGAAGGAAAACCTCTGTTATTGGAAGTGACCGGTATAGAGTACATGAATGATGATCCAGCTATGGTGGACGTCCTGTATGCCAAAGTCAATGTTAAAGATGGATCCGACAGGTTACAATTTCAAAGAATTATTATTGGGTTTTTTTGTGCTTTAATCTATGTTTTAATGTTTTGAATAAGCTTGTTCTGTACTGTAGGTTGCAGGTGATTGCAGACCGGCTGGTGGAGCACTTTGTCTCTGTGGGGCTAATGCTCAGGGAGTGGGACAGAGTGAAGCTGCATGGCACTGTGATGAACACACTGTTCAGGAAGGACTCTACAGGTTAATGTTGGGAATTCTAATGGATTTCTGCTGGATACTATCTCAGCCATAAACCATTCTCCATTAAGGACATGTTACCATGTGTCGGAAAAGGCAGCAAAGTCTCTGAAGGGCCTAGCGCTGGCTCATGTCATATCCATGTTATATCTTGTTACACATTTGCAATAAACTCAACTGGGGCTGAAACAATAAATCGGATTAATCATGATAAATCCATTATTGAAAAAATAGTCAATTAATCTAGTAGTCGATTAATCATTAAATGGAGTATAGAGACTGTAAAATATACCTTTAGCTGACAGAGCAACCCACTTAGAGCAGCAGTTATATCAAAATTGTAAAAAAAAAAAAAATTTGAATTTATGATGAAAAAATTTTTTTTTTTCATTTGTCAACATGCTCTCTCCTAAACTCCTCAATTGTTTAATATTTTAGTTTCCCCTTGTTTAATTTCATAAAATATTTTTCTTTAAGGAACCTTTTCCTGTCCAATTATTAATCAATAGATTAATCGATTTGCACAATAAATGTTAGTTTAAGCCCTAAACTCATCCCTTTTTTTAATAGTAATCCATAATACTCAAAATGGCAGAAACAAATAATTCAAAACAATCACTCTGCGTGTATTTGATCAATAATAACCTTGCAAAGCTGAGCTTAAAAAGCCTGAAAAGCTGAGATGTAACTCCTTGAAATATATTTGGATTTAGGTTATATATACTTTATAGCTTGATCTAAACCGTAAACATAAAGACTGAGCTTAGGGAAAACAAAAAGGTTTGCGTAAGACTAACTTTTTGTACAATTAGTGAGGCAATAACATGGCTGTTTTTTTTTGGAGATGTTTCTTCAGGAAGTAAAACTTGACATTTCCTCCACTTAATAACAGTTATGCAATAGATTTAATCCTTCCTTTCAGTGAGCTCAGATGTGTAGAAATAAAGTTGTCCCCCCCCCCACACACACACACACAAACTGATATTTGAATGTGGAAAAAAAAAGTCTTGAGCTTCACACTTGATCTTCCTGTTTGTTTTACAAATGTAGCTAAATTAAGCTGTTAGAGAATTAATGTAGACTGGGACTAAAAGCAGAACTATTGCCCAACACTAGTTCATAAACAAATGTTTTTTTGCATGTTTTTTCTTAAGAGCCCTGACCTACCTCACACAGAAAGTATAAAAGTAGACATGCTAGGATAATTCTAGCTATCCGTTTGCCCAGAACATACTTTTCCAATGTTCCCTTGTTATCTCTTGGCTGAGATTGGAACCGGAGTGACGGCACAGCTAAGCCTCAAAACAATTAGAGCAACTAAATTGCCCAGAGAGGAATCAGGGAGGTACTTCTCTGTTTGTCCTCAGAGCTGCATACGTGCACGGAGCAGTGCGCTGCTTTCCAAGTACTCTCACAATGCTCTCATTCATTTTGCACATGGAACCGTTCCAGGAGCGCTTCTCACATTTGCTCCAAAATAACCAACAACACCACCGCACAAGCAAAGCGGTCCACTGCTGACCGTGTTTACCACTACTCTGCACAAACCCCAGTGTCCCGATGCTCCTTAACTCTGGTGTATAATTTAATAAAAGAAGTTACCTTGATGTTCACTGGCTACTGTTGAAGTAAACCTGATCTGCTGGTAAACATGTTTATGACTTGCCTGAGATAACTTATCTCCATACTTTTCCTTATATTGTTTTGTTTGTGGTGTTTTTCCAGTTGAAGACATGGGTGGAGCAGGAAGACAAACCACAAGTGGAAGGGAGGCCTTTGATGCTAGAAACATATTAAAGGTTAGAGGGATCACATTAGTCCAGTAGCGCTCTACTTCTGTGAGAACAGACACAAAGATTTATAAGATGTTGACACCATAAAATAGGATTGCCACACAGTATCATATCTATGTTTATATATATATATATATATATATATATATATATATATATATATATATATATATATATATATATATATATATATATATATATATATATATATATATATATATATATATATGTACATGTTTTGTACTGTATTCCATTTAGTTTGAAGACATTAACAGGATTTTTAGCAGGTGTTGGCATTTCCTCAGCAACAACACCAGCATTCCTCAGCATTCAGTCCCATGATAGCGGGGTGATTAATAGCTCTTTATAACCTGCTTTAGTTCCTTTGGCCGAACACCTTGTCGCATTGCCTAACTTCTATCAAGTATTTCAAAATGTTTGTTAATTTGAGCCCACAACTGAAATAATAGCTTATTCACTGTAGGAAATATGTAAAGCTGTTTGATCACTTTATTTATGCCCACACATTTCCTGCTGGTACATTCAAAAGCTCAAGTGTTCACACCGCTTGAATTCCATCACCTCATTTGTCGCTTTACAGTTTTAAATGTCAAGCTTTTTTAGTTGGGAGAGGGGGGTGAATTTTATAAAAAAGTCAAGGGGAAAAAAAGAAAAACATTTTTCAACAGTTTTACAAATTGAAAACGAAACAAATGTCTAGCAGAAGTATTCAAATTCCTTTTATAATAATAGTCCTGAATAAAATCCTGTATTACCATGTTTGTTAGAAAATATAAAGAAACAAAAGCCATCGTAAGTCTAGGGCTGAATGATTTGAGCAAAAATCGAAATTGTGATTTTAAATATTGCCATTTTTCTTTGCACTAAGCACAAGGATGTAGATGTTGCAACTCAGGGTTTCAATTTGTTTCATGACCTTGAAAGCTTAGTTGTCCAGAGTCCATTAGTTTCAGGACTTTACTGGGTCCTTTGCTTGAAAAATGTTCTACCACTAATATCTTCCATGGATCTGGTCGCTAGCTGGAGCTGTCTCTTCCCGTCTGTGTGGCAGTGAACCCACTTTAACTGTATTTCCACCACCTAAATGGCTGAACATGGAAATCTAGGGTTACTCTTGTTAAATGTAACGTGACTTAAAGTGAGCTCCTTTGATAATTGCATTTTGCTAAATTGTGAATATATTGCAAATGCAATTAAATGGCCGGCCCTAATGAAGACCAAGGCACACAGCAGACAGGTCAATGAGGGGGTTGCAGACGTTTAAATGAGAGTAAAGTTATTAAACCATAACCCTGCTATGAACCATGTTCAATCCATCATCTAAACACTGCAAACCTACCTAGACATGACTGTCCATCCAAAAAAGCAGGATTGGCAAGGAGAGCAATTATCAGGTTGTTTTCTGAAACATTTTAGTATTTAGCAATTTCCTTCAACTTTACCAGTGTCAGTCTGTCATATCCTGACATAAAGATATCAAATCCTGATAGAGAGTTAGCAGTTGCAACAGGATGAATAATTTTGCTAGCCACTTTGGATGGTAAGAAATGCATTGCTTTCATTTGTGTTTTTGAATCACTTTGTAAAATTTTAATCATAATTTTTTAATTTAGAAAACAACTTTTCTTTATTTTTATGTTTTTCCAGAAATTTAGTAATTATAGCTTCGGGGAGCTTGAGCTGAACACAGTCCAGCTGTCACAGAGGTACTCAACAGACTGCAATGGATACTACTCATCGGCTGGAAGCATCAGCTTCTCATGACCTTCATCCCAGCCTTGCATAATATTCTGAGGTGTGGAAGTTCGGAAACTTGTTCTGCAGAAGCTTCAAATTGCAGTTTTTTGCTCTGTCCTCCAGGTGGCAGCATATATTAGCCTTTTTTTTTTACCCTTCAGTGGATTTGTTTAACACACAGATTCTAAAATATTGTGTTACAGTGTAGAAGAAAATCAAAAGAAAACCTGTAAAGGTTGCATAAAATAAAAATATATACCTTCTGTATTCATTAACATATTTGTTGTGGTCTTGATTTATTTTTACAGTATCAGGGATTGTTGCTGATAGTAGAGGGATCAAGGTTTTTATACTGATTTATCCTCATCTTGTTTAGAGTTTTTTTTTTTTTTTTTTATAGTGTGTCACATACACAGTGACTAACCTTAAAGAGAATAAAATAAATACTTAAACAAATCTTAGTCTAACATCTTGTGCCAGAGAACAAAAGCTGTTTTTAGTTATTGAAACAGTCTGGCTTAGAACAGTGTGATCCTCACCTCCTTGAATGCCGTAGCCCTGTGTAACACACTTCCTTTCACCTCACTGAATCTGTTAATGCGTCACAGACATGATTTATTACACTAACCAGTCTGTCTTTTTATACCCCATCTTTCTTTTTGGTCGCCTTACCCACACAAACTACTGCAGCTTTGCTCCCACCGCCGTCTGTCGACTGTGTCATTGCATACAGACGTCAGACAAAGAGCAGGGCTACTTGATCATGCCTTTATTTCCCCTCAGCTGGTGGTTCTCTCTGTTTAGCATGCAGGAGTGTGACCACCAAGCAGCCAAAAGTTACACCAGTGAAGTCTGAGGTTCCTCTTTGTTAACTATTCTGCCCATTTTAGCAGTTCCTTTCTTCTGTCTACAATCATGGAAGTTTCTATTTGAAATATCTAGGCTGCTAATCTTTCCATGCCTAAATGGTCAGTGGTGTTGTCTTGGAATGAATTCCATTTACTCAGGCCAACAAAGACCCCTAATTATGCACATTTGCTCTTTAGACAAGATGCTTGTTTCTGGTTCAAGAGCACACATCTAGTGTGCCACCACTTCCAGGTAACACGTGCATAGAGGGTTATTTTACTCGGGGCTGAACAAACAGAGCTCACGAGCAAAAATGAAGGAGACGAGGCACGTGATTTGCAATTTAATTAAACCTTTAAGGACTGTGTATTCTTGTCTGTGAAAACGGACATGATTAAAAATGACTTCAACAGGAGTCTGCACAAAATACGTATTACGGATCATATTGTGCTTAAATCAATAGAAAATGTTATGATATGAATTTATGTTTCTTTGAATCACAATCTCAAACTTTGCTTAACGTGTTCTGAAAAAAAAGGATGTTGTATTTAAATTACAGACCTAAAAAACATTAATTCAATATATAGAAAACCTCAGCTAAAATTCAGTCTTTTACATTATGGTTTGACATTAGGTGATTTAGCGGTATGATGATATAGAAATTAGAGATACTGTCCATGTTCCTGTCAGGGAATTCCTGTAAAGGTTTCTTAGACTGTTAAAGTTAGTAGTGATGCATCCCAGTGACGAACTCCTGGGTAAAGGGAAGCTACTGTACTTTTAAATTTTTTATTACAAGAAAGGCAAATTCAACCACGTTGAAGTTTAAGGCGGGACATACAGCTGTGACCAAACCAGAGGGTCCCTCCTTTCCCTGAACAGATTCAGTGAACCCAGTCACAGCTTAAATATGTGAAGAACTAAACCTGAGTTCTGCTCATGATCAATCTGTCTTGCCAAATTTCTAATAGCGAACTCCAAATGTTATTTTTTAAACTATCCATATTAGATTTAAACTAATACATGCTTTTTAAGGCCATTTACATAATACAAATAACACACAGTGATAAGAAATGCTATGTAAGTTTAAATTTAAACAAAAACAAAAAAAATTGTTACATTTATTAGCTAATTAAGGTGCTCTAATCAATGGCTGATACAAAAAAGGCCCTAATATTGACAAAAAAATGCTTTGTTGAATTTATGCCAAAGGTGGTGAAAGGCAGTTTGTGATTAAAGGAAGCATTTTCACTTACAAACCTTTGCAGGATTATAAGTGAGAAACACTATTGCATATTCCTGTTTACATACATTTACACAATTGAGCATTTGCATCATGTGAGAATGTGGTTCACATGCCATTGTACCTTTTTTGTCATCGGTACAGATGGTTGTGCCAAGAATGTCACAGAGCAGTATGATAAGCCTCCTGTTACAGCAGACTCTCACTCACCAGTGTTGACAACACATGTCCTGCTGTTTCTGGGAAGCTCTGACTCAGTAGTCTGTAACAGGATTTGAACACTTCTCATGATTTTACACATTCAACACACTGATCTGCAAACTAGTTGTGGCATATGTAATATATTTAAGGCTTCGGTGTGATTTCTGTGACAAATTAACGATGAAATCACTTCAATCCATGAGATCTCACAACTTTCAGTAAATTTGTTCAAATAACCACATCTTTTTACCAACATCTTTGTGCTTTAGCTTGCATGTGCACCAGCAGAGATGCACAGTCTCTGTCACAGACACGTCTCAACCTTATTAGTCAGCTTTGTTCTTCCCACACTGTGAGGCTCCAACAAGACCTTTAAATTCAAGTTTGCTCTGCTTAAAAAAAAAAATCTGTATAAATTAGATGTCTGTGAGCTGTGCTTGTTTCTTTTTATCTGCATAATTTTTTCATGAGGTTCTAATGAGGCAGAAGATGTATGTTTTAATAAAACATTAGTTTATATAAGAACATGTGCTAAAGCTACTTCACAGTGTTAGGTAAGAAATGTTAACGCTCGTTGAACTTTCCTACATTTTTGTCACAACCACAAGCTTCAATGTGTTTCTTTTGAGTTTTTATTTAGAATGTAAATGTCAAAATAAAGGTTTGACAAAAAAAGAAGAGAGAACAAGCAATACAACAATCATCCTGATAGCATTTAAGATTTAAACTTAAACTTTTGGAGTTGGAGTAGATAAACATTACCAATATAAAGTGCAGCAGTGATCAGGGTGTAACAGTGTAGGAGAAAAAGAAAGTTTAAATAATGGTGCAAAAGGGCATTGATATGAAAAAGTCCAGTGCAATGCGAACATAAATATGGTGCAAAATGCAGTTAAACATCGAGTTGTGTCCTATTTAAAAGGATTATAAAAGTTCAGCACTTGGTAATGCAGAATAATGTTGTAAGTGTTATGCAGAGTCCAGTTTAGAGTTCAACAGTCTGATGGCAGCGGGGAAAAAGCTGTTTCAGAACCTGCTGGACTGCAGCGGATGCTACAAAGCCTCTTCCTTTTTATTTGATTTAAATCAGCTTTACATTTACTTTGAGAGGAAATGTTATTTATTTTTCTTTCAGTACATGCTTGATGTAGGTAAATTATTGGTGGGCCCTTGTCTCCTATCTCTATTTCCTGTTTCTTTGTAAACCAAGTAGACTGATGTATTATATATAAAAGAGACACAGATTATTTTCTATAGTCTAACAGGAACTACACTCCAAAATTCCCCAGAAAAAATGAACAAGGGACCACTTGAATTCAATACAACAGTGCCTCATTTCTTTAATAGCTCCCTTTTTCAATGTTATTCTCCAGTCCTTTTTTGCAACAACTTTAAATCTGCACTCACCACTGTGTTAACAGGTGCAAGAGCCATGATTGACAGTCAAACCGATTGCAGTGAGAGGGCAGGCGATTTGTGCAGCAGATTATCATTCAGAGGGCTGAATCTGAATTTCATGCAGAGCCCTCCTGCAGCTGCTGCAGGTGTTTTTATTGAAAATTATACTCTGCAGAGTTTTTAAACCAACTGTCCAACTGCAAATGCAGGGACAGTTTAAAAAGTGTTTTCCTGGCTCCAAATTATCTGATCAGGAGCCATAAAATGTCAAAAATTAGCATTTAGTTATTCACACAACACCTAATTTCGAATCCCTTTATTAAGATGTAAATCATGGGAATATTTGTTGGCGATGCAGAAGAACAACCCATGTTTAAATCTTCAGCTTGTTTCGGACTGTTGGAAGTGTTCTCATTCAGCAGGAAAACTATAAAAACACTTTAGTGCAGGAGTTACAGGGGCTGTTACTGGAAAAGAAGCAATGCCCCATGAGGATCCTCGTTTTTATCTCTCAGTTTTGTTTTCTTTTTTTACTCTTTCTGGCAACGGTGTCCTCAGCTCTGCAGTTCATCGTCAAACAAAAACAAAAATCTTGCTCCAGCAGGTATTCCCAAAAGATCAGCAGTTTTTATTTTTATTTTTTTTTTAATATAAAATGCTAAACTGCCTTACAAGGAGAAACGAACATTCAAATACGTTGTTTAATGTGCGTTTGCTGATGTATTTCCACGATGGTAATTAAGCTCGGCCTCAAAGCACAGATTTATTGCTTTGTAATCCTAACTTTAAACCGCTGTAGATTTGTAATATGTATTGCAAAAGAACATTTCCCAGAGGAGAGAATGTTTAGCGGTTCAAGTCTTAGCGAGCGACTGTTTACTCTGTGCATTTAATTGAGGAAGCTGCTGCACTCTCCCCCACATCTGCTGCTGTAAGCTGCCTGCAGTGCGAAAAAACAGCCTCTTCAGTGCTCAACCAACAGAGGCAAACTGCTGTCACACTGCTCCCAACTAACTTTGCAGTCTTAATAGCTGTGTGACCCAGTTTGAATCCCATTGAATCGAAGCGATATGCATTTGCAGCAGCTTCGTTTACAGTTCTAAATCACTTGAGATTATTTATTAAATGGCTCCAGATGTGGTTTATTCAACCCCTATAATAATAGAATAACCTTGAATTGGGTTTTGGATTGAGGAGATTCTTTGGTTAGGCTGACTATTTCCCTCATGCAGACCTTTTGGCGTTCGGGTATCTCTAACAAGATGGAACTTCCTCACAAACAGAGAGAACTGCATGCTAAATATGTCATTACCGCTCATGCAAATTATCCTATATTCTGAACTCTTAAGCTTTCCTCACCCTATACAAACAACCTTTCTTCATTTAATTTGAGTTTTTTTTCTACGTTTAACTACACAGAATAGGACTATTTTTACTAATGAGTACTATTTATTTTTTAATTGAATGAAAAGGAAAAAAATAAGTGTAGATGACAAACAATCAGCAGCCTTTTGATAGCCTCAAAATAAAAATATCCACTGATTATGTTTTCCAGGTCTTTTGGGGACACAGTTGGACAAAAAT